GTTTCAGCTACTTGGAAAGGTGAGGCAGAAGGATCACCTGAGCCCAGCAGGTCGAGGCTGCAGTGGCCATGAGTGTGCCACTGCACTCCAGCCTGGGCAACAGTGAGACTCCAACTCAAAAAAAAAAAAGTATAGTCTATTAATAACATAGTACAATATTTGTTACAAATCAGGCTCATTTGCAGTATATTTCACTGGCATAATCTGTTTTTACTCCCTACACAATAGGGGAAAGAGAAGAGATGTGCATGCAGGCAGATGTCAAGCTGTAGGCTCTGCCACTCTTTAGTTGTGTGACCTCTGGCAAATTATTTTAACATTTCCCTTATTTAGTTGCTGGTTTTCTTGGATTGGACTGTACCTTTAATTTTTTAGTTTCTAAAGGTAAGGAAAAAAATACAAAGAAAATGAAGAAGATGAAAGTCCTTAAAGAAATTATACCAAAAAAATAAACACAAGAGTTGAGTTTCCAGATTGAAAAGATCCACTAACTGTTTAGCAAATAAACACAAAAAGACTCACCCCGGGCCACATTATTGTGAAATTGCAGAACACCAAAAATAAAAAAAGTCAAGAATTTCATTGAAGGAGATCTAAAAAGATCTTATGCAAAAGGCCTACACTCCACTGCCACCTGCTGTCAGCGGCTGAGTTGCTGTACAGGAACAGTGGCATGTGTCACAGCAGGGCTACAGCATTCCATGCATGAGAGGCCTCCTCAATCCCTCCAGGACTTCTCAATCCCTGACATAGTGACCACCACATCTGGAGAGCTGGAGCTCTGGTCTCAAGTGCTCAAGATGGAGACCCCTGCACACCCATCATGACATTAAACGTGAGCCAAGAAATGCTGTTTGTAGTTTTGAGTCAACAAAATCTGAGAATTGGTTATTACTGTAGCATAATCAAAGATATCCTGACTGATCAAATAAAAATGGGCAGAATTTTTCGTAAAACAAAAATTTAAAACTCACAAGAGATTCCAAGTTATATTACTTTATAAAGAAAAGAAGTTCTCCAACTTACCTTTCTTGAAATCTGAATTTTTACATTTGGATTACATTAGGATAATTACAGTAAGCTGTAATTAATGATAAAGAACAACTACATGTAACTTATACATTAACTTGTTTAGTACAGTTTAAAAGAGAAAATATAAAAAATTAGAATATCAAATTTGTGTATTTAATTGGTGAGCTCTAGTACTAAAATATTTCCCCATTAAAATCACTTTCCTTTCATTTTAATAAAGGACATAAATAATAGCATACTCATACTCACATACTATCACATATATTCCCTTGATTTTGTTATTTTCTACTTGTATGAAAAAAAATACCAAGAAGTACATTTATATGGGCCGGGTGAGGTGGCTCACGCCTGTAATCCCAGCAATCTGAGAGGCCTAGGCAGGAGGACTGCTTGAGCCCAAAAGTTTGAGACCAGACTGGGCAACATAGCAAGACCTTGTCTCTAAAAATAAAATTAGTCTGGTGTGGTGGTGCACATCAGTAGTCCTAGCTACTCTGGAGGCTGAGGCAGAAGAATCACCTGAGTCCAGGAGGCTGAGGCTGCAGTAAGTCATGACTGTGCCACTGAATTCTAGTCTGGGTGACAGAGACAATGACTCAAGAAAGAAATACATTTCCAGAAGACTTGTCTATCATATGGATCAATAACGACTGTTTTACTTTGACCTGCAACTTTCCTAAAACCTAAAGTTGGCAGTTCTATTATACTACTTTCTAGTATTCCTCCTTGATTAATCTTCCTTTCATAAATGTTTCGGGTTTAATGATATTCCCAGCTTATTGTTTCCTCTCAGATCTTCAGATGCTGGCTTTGGTTAGTTCTACTCTGAAGGTAGAGACACCATGCCTAGCAAGTAAAGCAGAATACAGAGAATGAAAAGGTGAGGAAGGAGGGGTGATGGAAGTCCTTCCCAGCTTAGATGTCATTGATTTGCATAAATTGCACTTTTTTTTTACTTTTACCATACCAAATCTGAAGGTAAAAACAAAAAGACTACCAGCTATTTGAATTAAACATAGAAAATGAAAAGAACAATCTAAGTGAATTATAGGCAACAAAAACTTGCTCTTAAATGTTTCCAACCAATACTTAAAATGTTCAGCAAAGACCAAGCGTGGTGGCTCAAGCCTGTAATTCCAGCACTTTGGAAGGCCAAGGTGAGAAGACTGTCTGAGTCCAGGGCCAAGACCAGCCTGGACAACTTGGCAAATTCTCATCTCTACAATAAAACAAAAAATTCGCCAGGCATGGTAGTGCGCGCCTGTAGTTCCAGCTACTTTGAAGGCTGGGGCAGAAGAATCGCTGGAGCCCAGCAGGTCGAGGCTGCGGTGGCCAGGAGCAGCCACTGCACTCCAGTCTGGGCGACAGAGTGAGAGTACAACTCAAAAATAAAATAAAATGCTCAGCAATACAGCTACACAGCAAATGTTTCTGAATAAACGTTTAATATCTAAAAAACACTTTTTCAGACAAAAACAGATTTCAGGGTCATATCTCTGGCTCCTTTCCCATCTCTTCACTGGCCTAAATGCCTCTTTTCAGAACTTACCCTAGATGATCTCTCTTTATCATCTGACACACTGAGTTTTCTAGCCTAGTAAACAATTGAGTCCTTCAAACCAGACAGCTAGAATTTGAATCTCAACTCCACCACTACCTGTCACCTTGGTTAGATTACTTACAGCTCAGATCTTAATTTCATTACCTATAAATCAGAGATTATGATAATACTTAAATCAAAGTTCTCACAAAAACATACAGTGCACTTAGAACAGTGTCTGGCACATATCAAGAGCTCAGGAAAACATAAGGTATCAATAAATCAACAGAAGAACTCAAATATGAAACTCATCAAGGTGATGGGAACACCAGGATTAATTAGACCGGTGCCCTCATGGAGCTTATATTGGGAGGAGAAAGCAGGCAATTAGTTCAGACAAGTAAAATGTATAATATGTTAAATAGTGAAAAATGCTAAGAAAAATAAAGCTGGGAAGATCCAGAGAGTTGAGAGGAGGTACAGTTCTAGACAGGGTGACCAAGGACATCCTTAGTGAGAAGAGTTGGGGAGTAAGTCCCGTATTACATGGGGAGAACACTTCACACACAGGAAGCGGCAAATGCCAAAACCCTAAAGGCAAATGGCAACTGGCCTGGGTGAGAAGCAGGGAGGGTGGTGAGCCTGGAGCTGGGCAGGGAGTTACATGTAGGAGGTGAGGGAGAGAGGCCACAGAAGTCACCGCAGGGTTCTGTAGGGTTCGGCTTTTCCTCTAAGAGATACCGCCAAGGGAGGGTTGTAAGCACAGGAATGACATGATCGGACTTGCATTTTAACTCTACACTCTGTATCAAGAAAAGACTAAAGGTGGCAGGGGGAGGGGGGCAAAAGAGGAAACAAGGAAAGCACTCAGGAGCTCACTGCAACAATCCAGGGGATGACAATGGTGGCGTGGCAAGGGGAAGGCAAACAGTGGCCAAATAAACACATCTGAAAGCGAGGCTGACAAGATTTGCTATTAGTCTAGATATGAAATGTAGGGGAAAAGCCAAGGATGACTCCCAAGTTTTTGGTCTGAGCTACTGAAAGAACAGATCTGCTGTTCACCAAGATTGGCAGTTAGAGGATTCAGAGGAAGACCGTGAACTCCTTTTAGACACAGACATTCAAGAGGAACTGCCATGTAGATAGCTTTTTAAGAGCAGCCTAGACTGAAGATATAAATTGGAGCTGTCAACTAACAAACAGCATTTAATGCCATGAGACTGAAAATGGCAATGAGTTAAAAACAAGACTGAGCCTAGAAGCATTCCAGTATTCAGAGGTGAGGGAGATGAGGAGAAGCCAGGAGAAAAAGGCAATGAAGGAAGAGCGAACGAGGTAAGAGGAAAACCAGTAGACACATTTTTCTTCAAAGTATTTCAATAGAAGTTTGAGCTACTCCAGAGCCTGAGGCCAAAGGATCACCTGGGCCCAGGAGTTGTAGGCTGTAGTAAGCTGTGACAGTACAGCCTGGGCAACAGAGTAAGACCCCCCCAACTCAAAAAAATTTATAAAAATTAAAAAATGGTATATTTTGGCCGGGTACAGTATAATCCCAGCACTTTGGGAGGCCGAGGTCAGAGGACTGCCTGAGCCCATGGGTTCAAGACCAGCCTGGGCAACTTGGTGAGACCTCATTTCCATAATAAAATAAAATAAAATATATATATATATATTTTTTTTTTTTGAGTTGGAATCTCACTCTGTCGCCCAGACCGGAGTGCAGTGGCCACTCCTGGCCACCGCAGCCTCGACCTGCTGGGCTCCGGCGATCCTTCCGCCTCAGCCTTCCGAGTAGCCGGTATTACAGGCACACGCTACCACACCTGGCTGATTTTTTATTTATTGTAGAGATGAGGTCTCGCCAAGTTGCTCAGGCGGGTCTTGCGGGCTCAGGCAATCCACTCATCTCAACCTCCCGAGGTGCAGAATTACAGGCTGAGTCATCGAGCCTGGCTAATAGTGTATTTTTAATATTACATAAACCAAATTAACCAAAAACAGTATCTTTAGTAATAAGACCGTTTTCAGAGTCTGAAGACTAACCCTAAAGCAGAGAACAAAAGAAACTGAATGGGTCCAGACAATTCTTTGTTTTACTCAACCTTTCAAGTAGATGAAACGGCAGGCATGTGCATATACCATCATGCCCAGCTAATTTTTTAAATTTATTGTTGAGATGAGGTCTTGGTAAGTTGCCCAGGCTGGTCTGAAAGTCCTGGGCTCAGGCAATCCTCTCGCTATATTATTTTTCTATTTCAGTGAGTTTTATGAGAAAATTATTACTGATTTTTCTAATTTTTTTTTTAAACTCTTTAAAAAACTAGGAGAATTTTTGCTGGGAGATAAACAGTTATATGAAGTCAACTGCTACTGGGGAAAAATACCAAATTTCTCTTTGTTCAATACCATCATTTTTGCTTCACAGGAGGAACGGGAAGATGAAAGACCGACTTCAAGAACTAAAGCAGAGAACGAAAGAAATTGAGCTCTCTAGAAACAGTCATGTATCAACTACAGAAGCAGAGGAACAAGGGTTGTTTCTGCAGCAAGCTGTTATCTATGAAAGAGAGCCTGTAGCTGAGAGATACCTCCATGAAATCCAAAAACTACAGGAGAATATTAACAATTTGGCAGATAATGTTCAAAAATTTGGGCAGCAACAGAAAAGTCTGGTGGCTTCGATGAGAAGGTTTAGTCTACTTAAGAAGGAGTCTGGTATTACAAAGGAGATAAAAATCCAAGCAGAACATATCAACAGAAGTTTGGAAGATTTAGTTAAAGAGGTTAAAAAATCAGAGGCTGAAAATGGTCCATCATCAGTGGTCACAAGGATACTTAAATCTCAGCATGCTGCAATGTTCCGCCATTTTCAGCAAACCATGTTTATATACAATGACACAATAGCAGCAAAGCAAGAGAAGTGCAAGATATTTATTTTCCGTCAGCTTGAAGTTGCTGGGAAAGAGGTACCTGAAGAAGAAGTAAATGATATGCTTCATCAAGGAAAATGGGAAGTTTTTAATGAAAGCTTACTGACGGAAATCAGTATCACTAAAGCACAACTTTCAGAGATTGAACAGAGACACAAGGAGCTAGTTAATTTGGAGAACCAAATAAAAGACTTAAGGGATCTTTTCATTCAGATATCTCTTTTAGTAGAAGAACAAGGAGAAAATATCAACAACATTGAAATGACAGTGAACAGTACAAAAGAGTATGTTAACAATACTAAAGAGAAATTTGGATTAGCTGTAAAATACAAAAAAAGAAACCCTTGCAGGGTACTGTGCTGTTGGTGCTGTCCATGCTGTAGCTCAAAATAAAGAAGCCACTTTAGAAACTATTCCAACTTTAGGGTAAAGGATGTCCTGGATTTCAGTGTCTTATATTGTTCTTCATTTCATGGATCCATTCACAGATCTTTCATCACTATTAAGTCATAAAGTTCCCCTTTTGCCCTAACCCTTTCGAATTACAGAAAATTCTGAAGCCAGTTACATACGACAAGTTGTATTTAATTAAGCTAAAAAATAGTATGTTATCTTCAACTCACAGGGTCACTCTGAAAAGGAGATGAATGATCTTACGTTTCTGGTCAGGTGTTAAGTTCTATTATTCATTTTTCTAACTTCTAGTGCTTTAACAGGATGAATTTTCAATTAAGGGATGACTACTTAAGCAATGTCATTGGTTCATTTGAGAATATTTTGGCAGTTAAGACACGTAAAACAAGACCTCAAAGAGTGCAACAATAAAGCAAAATCAAACTAGAACCTGTATCAAATTGTTTGTCCTTGGAAGGTAAGTGAACTCAGTGGTCAGCGGATCCTGGTAACACTCGACTATGTATCTGAAGAATCTAACTGGTAACTGGGAGCTGCGTCCAGCTTAAGGCATAAGAAGGCAAGTTAAGGCACTGCTTTCTTGAACTCGGGTTCATTCGAGACACGGCATTACAGGTTGGGGGCTTTGGCAGATAAGGTCAGAGGATAGGCAGCTGTGTTCCTGAACGCTTTGCTATCACTTTTTGATGATGCAAGGAAACATGCTGTGAGCCAAGGATACAGTTTGACTCACACAGGCAGAGTTTTGGAATTCACATTCTGGTGGAGAAAGCAAAGGGTAAACACAAATATTAGATAATGTTACGTTCTGGGCAAAGACCTAAAATAAGGGCACTGAAATGGGAGAGATGGCTGGGGACTTCTTTAGGTTGGGCAGTAGGTTAAGAGCCTTTCTAAAAGGTAATACGTATGTGAAGACCTGAATGACGAGGACAGGGGAAAGGGTATTCCAGGCACAGGAAACAAACAGTACAAAGACCCTGAGGAGAATATTATTACTCAGCACAAAGAAAAATGACAGTGTACTGGGCATGGTGGGAAAAGAGCAGTGGGGTAAGAGATGAGGTTAAGAAAAGTCAGCAAGGGCTAGATTTAAGGCTCTGTAAGCCATGGAAAGAGCCTCATGTTTACAGCAAGTGTAATCGATGCAAAGCTCTTAGACTGTGTCAGGCCTGAGAGTAATACAATTTTTACTTGAAAAAGACAGTTCTGTGTACTGTATGAAGAATGGGTTAGAATGGGTTTGGGGGCAGTGAGTAGGGGACAAGCATGTAGGTACGGAAAGCAATTTGAGGCTGATGCAGCAGTCCCAGTCAGAGATGACGGGGGCACGGAAATTATACATAAATCTAAGTAGATAAATTATAAACTGGAAGCCCAGAAAAGAGCCTAGGGTATTCCAAAATTTAGATTCGAAGCAGAAGACGAGATAAGAAAGAAAACTAGACTCATTAATCCCAGCACTCTGGGAGGTGAAGGTGAGAGGACTGCCCGAGTCCAGAGGTTCGAGATCAGCCTGGGCAACTTGGCGAGACCTCGTCTCTACAATAAATCAAAAAATTAGTCGAGGGTGGTAGTGCCCTCCTGTAGTTCCAGCTACTCGGAAGGCTGAGACGGAAGGATCCCCTGAGCCCAGCAGGCGAGGCTGCAGTGGCTGTGAGCGTACCACGGCACTCCAGTCAGGGTGACAGAGTGAGACTCCCACTCAAAGAAAAGGTGGGAAGAGTGAGGAAGGGAGGAATGAAGGGAAGGGGAAAACGGGGAGGGGGCCGGGGAGAGGGGAGGGGAGCTGGACAACCAGGTGGTGGTTAGGACCCTTCTAAAATGTGTGGTCGTAACTTTAATGTGAGCTCAGCCAGCACAGTCCTGTGTTTTAAATCTATCAGTGTTTAGCTGCTTGGGTGCTGGCACAGAACGGGCAGATAACTGGGTCTAGCCAAGCTGGCAGCTTTTCCAGGCAGGTGCAATGAAGGAAAAATATGTTAAGGAAGCTGGGGGTACTTGAAAGGAACGGTTTTGTATATGTAAAATATTATATCACAAATACTATAAAATAATGTCTAATTTACAAAATATAAAAAAACTGTCGTGACCCGCCTGGGCAACTTGGCGAGACCTCATCTCTACAATAAATCAAAAAAAAAAAAAAAAATTAGCCAGGCGTGGTAGTGCGTGCCTGTAGTTCCGGCTACTCGGAAGGCTGAGGCGGCCACTGCACTCCAGTCTGGGCGACGGAGTGAGACTCCAACTCAAAAAAAAAAAAAAAATTGAAGAAGTTTCTGCTGTATCAATCGTCAAGCATCACTAGAGAAAAAGATGTTGCACATAGCTCAGCATCAGATGTTTAAGAAACATACATTTGAAACAGATGATAAACTCCACAATTGAGTAGTAATACACATCTCTCCTGTCTCTTCTAAAAATTTATCTAGAGCCTTAGCGATACCTGTTTATAATTATTCCTAAATTGTTCATCATGAAAATTGAGAAAATCAAGTACTATTTAATCTTCTATATGATTATATGATGAATTTGTAAAACGGCTCTTTCTCAGTAGCACTCTATACCTACTCGTAGTGCTTTTAAAGCAAGATTTAAGCACAAAAAGCAAGGTATCATATATAATTCTCATTGCTCTATCTTCAAACCAATTAGCATCATCCTAACCTAAGCAAAAATAAATAAATGAATAACATGATATTTAACTAGTTGGTGAACATTTTGTATATATTATTTACAAACTTAATAGGCATTAAAATTTTTTCTTAAAATAATGACTTTAAAGTGAAAAACAATAATTAAAAGAGTTGAAAACAATATGGAAAATATGCAATAAAAATAATCAAAATTACTATGAGCAGTAAAGATCATATTCAAACTACTAAACTATGCCATTTTCTGTAACCACAAGCTTCAAGGAGATTAAATTCCTAAAATGAGATACTTTGAAACTGGTTTCCTAATTCATCTAATTCATCTACATCTACAGTGTATCATCTACAGTAACAAAATTCATATCCACCATCACATTTACAGAACACTAGCAACATACCACACTAGATGCTTTAAGCGCATTATTTCTAATTCACATGGCAACACAGGTATTATAATCCTTATTTACAAGTGGCAACATAGAAGCTTAGTAAGATTAAGTAACCACCTAAGGTCTGTCTGACTCACACTTTCTCCTACACTAGTGGTTCTCAATTTTTGCTGTGTAGCAGAATGATCTGCAGAACATGTGAGAAAAAACCCAAAGCATCCCTGATCTCACCTTCAAACATTGCAGAGGTCTGGCCTGATGCTGATGCGCATGGTCCATGGAAAGCATCTTGCTGCCTACCAATACTACTGAACAGTTTTATGTGTTATTTTGTTTTTAAACAGACTGGTGGGGTTGGCAGGGGAGGCAGGGATGGGAACCTCTGCAGGCACCCATATCTTAAATACCTACAAAAATGAGAAGCTGGCTGGGCACAGAAGCTCATGCCTGCAATTCTAGCACTTTGGGACACTAAGGTAAGAGGACTGCTTAAACCTTCAAGTTCGAGACCAGTCTGGGCAACCTGGTGAGACCTCATCTCTACAATAAATAAATAAATAATAGCCGGGCATGGTGGCGCATGCCTGTAGTTCGAGCTACTTAGAAGGCTGAAATGGAGGGATCGCCTGAGCCCAGCAGGTCGAGGCTGCAGTGGCCGGGAGCATGCTACTGCTCTCTAGACTGGGTGACAGAGTGAGACTCCAATTCAAAAAAACAACAAGAAGCTGAGAAACTTTACTGTAAATTACAGCTGCTATGAAGTCGAATGCAATTGAATGACGAAAGGAAACCCTCAATGAGGAAGTCTGGCGGTAAGTCAACAGTGTGAGCCAACGGTATGATGAAGATGACAGCTTGGTAAGGCACCACTGAAGAAGGGAAATCTTAAGCCAACAAGGCCTTCTTAATTCAGTGAGTAGGGATTTCAGAGGGTGAAATTAGTAAATTAGGGGAATCACCATTATAGCTTACAGGTTTCCAGAGTTCTAAAAAAGAACACAGATTCTCCTATTTATTAACTAAAGGTCTAATTTAGCAAAAGTATGCTTGATGCAATTTCTGAGAATAGTATTAGGATAATCCTGACCTAATTATGACTCAAAGAAACTTGCAAATTAACATTTTCCTATAACAGTGCCTAGAAAGGAAGGTGAGTCCAATAAGTATATAAAGGTTGGAATCAAAAAATCCCACATTGAAAAAGTAATAATAAAAGCCTGGTTAATGTTTTTCCTAATATAGCAACTGAGTTTTTAACATTTTTGATCAAACTCCTATAGGACCTGATCCCCACAAAATGCACACGCTAGGATCTGCTCCCAAGAAAAATGCACATGCACTGGAATTGTGGATATGATTTCAGAGGATCCTGGGAGGCCATTCATGGCAGCAAAGACCCTGGGTCAAGAAACTTTTTACTGGAATGTTCACAACACCTAGTAAGATCAAATCAGGGATACTACATTTTCTTTCATGAGTGAAACTCCACTCACATATCACTTTTGTTGTAAGCATTCAATTTGTGAGGTCTGGCCAAAGGAAAGTTAGATCATATAATGCCACAGAAAAGCAGACAGTATGTAATGAGAAAGTGGTACTACTCTAGTAGTTCAAGTGCACTGGCACTTTTTAAAAATTAAGTTATGCCGGGCTCGGTGGCTCAGCCTGTAATCCCACGCCTTGGGAGGCTGAGGTGAGTGGATTG